CTGTAAGCATTAGAAAGAATACAAATAGTGATTCGAATATAGAAAATAGTTTTCAACAAGAATATAAAGAAGTAAAAGTTATTATCAAATTTTCAAAAATAGAGACTTCAGAAAACCAAAACTCTAGATTTTCAGAACCTAGAACGTGTAAATATAATTTTGTTTAGACTGCATAGAATGATAGAGCAAATAATTCACTACAAAATGAAACAACTCTGAGTTCTCGGCTATGTTTTTTAGCTGAAATACAACACTGATTGAAAGTAAAAACAAAAACGACTTTGAAGGCTTTCGGAAGATTGCTGTATCTCAGCCAAAAAACGTCACAGAGAACTTGGAGAAGTCTCATTTTGTAGACAATTGTTTAGTCTATTGTTCTATGTAGTCTAAAAAAAATTATATTTACATGGTCTAGGTGCTGAAAAATTAGATTTTTGATTTTCTAGCGTCTCTATCTTCCGGAACCTGATGATAATTTTTATTTCCTTATATTTTTGTTGGAAATAATTTTCTCTACTCGAATCACTATTTGGACATTTTTTCCATAGCTTACAGCAGTAAAAACAGTTGAAAATAAACCTTGTTGAATAATTTTTTAATAAATCAATGTGCTTGAAACTGAGCAAGATGAGCTCTTACGACATTAATAAAAATATCTAAAATAAGAAATGATATGCATTTTGTTGAGGCAAACTGATCATAATTATTTCTATTGGATGTTGAAGAAACAGTGATTTCATTAGTATTGTGACAAAATAAAAATTTTCTTTGAAAATCACATTTTGAATATTTTTCTATACTATTGATTCTATACATTTTATAAATACTTCATTTTGTACAAGATAGCCTAATAAAGTATCGTTTTCGAAGAAATTATTAGTAAAAAATCTAATTTCTTTTTGAAATAATTGAACTTTTTTTTACAGACTTTTGTACTTGAAATCTTTTCAAAACTTCGATGGTTCTTACTACAAGACAAAATTAGGGTAAAGATATATTATTAATGTATTTCAATCAACACATTAGAAGACTAATAGATAGATATATATGACATACAATATTTATTGAATTAGATTTATTTTCAATAGAATTCATTCATTTTTTTTCTCTTCATTGAAATGGACTTCAGTATCGAACTGGACAAGCTCAAAACATGATTTTCTCTTAACAAGATCAATTTACATTTGTTGTAAGTGTAATAATTATTTCAATACGAAACTGTCTGATTATTTGAATGTCTTATATTACTAATAAATTATTTGGATCTATTTAACTCACCGATTCTCTTAATAATCGACTGCTGGTACGAATTTTGAAAGAACCCTTATCAATATATCTTCCTTGTTTTACTTTAATTAATTTTCTTAATTTAACCAAATCTTGTTGAATTCTTGAATTTAATGGATCAAGATCAATTGAATTTTTGTTTTTATTATCTTTTGCTACTCTTATTGCATTAATATAATCATTAATACAATAAGATTTTGCTTCAATAGATGTTTTTTGTGTTGAACTAGTTGCACCTTTTACTATATCTTGTGTAATTGTTAAAATGTCTGGCAAAGATATTGGAGATTCACATGTTGTTGATAAAGCAGAAATATTTTGAACTGATGTTGATACTTCTTGCCATCGTCTTTTCATTGAACGATAACGATGAAGACGTTGAGTAACACGCATATTAAAATATTGTAAACCTGTTGGATACGATGGAAAAGGAGGAAAAATGCTTTTAGCTTGTTTTTTAAATAAATGTTGAATCTCTTTCATATTCGATACTGGATTATGTGATGAAGAGGAAACTGTAGTCATTCTACTGTTCAATAACGTAGGTTTTTATCTAGACAAAATGAATATCTAATGAAATAAAAATAAATAATAATAATTTTTGTATTCAGTTAATGTTTACCTTGGTTTTTTTTCTATTGTATATTTAAAGACAAGTTACATGAACAAAAAATTTTTCAATATTCTTATTTTTATAATTATATGTTGATGAATTTTATTTTTTTTTTTACATCACGCCTACTAGAGAACAAAAATTAGAAGCAAATTACAATGTAATAATGAGAAAAAAAAATGTCCATGTGTTTTCTTATTTAAAATCGATTCGAATGTAATACGAAACATGATTACAATTGAATACTTATGTAAAGAAAAAAGACTTGAGAGAGAAAGAGCGAGACACAGAAAGAGCAAGACACAGAAAGAGCAAGACAAAGAAAAGAAGACTTATTATACATGTACGAATCGTAAAAAACAACATAAGAAAGGATGCCTTTACATATCTTACATATATAAGATGTCATTCAATTATTATCCATATATAAAACATTTCTAAGATTTATGTTGATAAAAATTCTTTTCAAGATACTTCTTTTTTTTCTCGGAATTTTTTGAGATAATGATGTCTTTCTTTCGTTTAAATTAATATTCTAAATGATTTTCAATTGTTTTTGTTCAAATATTCCACTTGACAACAAGAAATAGAAGAATAAAATATTCATTTTTTATTAAATTTTATTGTTACTATATGAATTGATGATCTTAGAAAGATATGAATCACTTAACTTTTGCTAATTTCATCTTTTAAAAATATTTTTATAACATAAAAATCATCTTTTCAAAATCAATCATCGAAACAAGAAAAAAGAAGATTTTATAATATGTAGATTAGACAATCACGAGTAAGTGAATGATGATCAGCAAAAAAAAGAAAAAAAAATTGTGTGATGGATACTTACAAAAAAGAAAAGAATAAAATAATAGAAATTATTATGAAGTGAATATATTAATTTCATGGAAAAGAAGAAGAAGTGTCAACATCAAAATTATTTCCGTTATCATCTGATTAAATACAAAGGTAGTACTCTAATGTTCGATGTTTATCATTGTTCTATTTCAAAATAATTTTTCTTTTGAATCATTTGAAAGCACATTTTTAATTGTTATTTCTCATATAGTTCTATTTGGTTTTTCTTCATGATATTAAAATAGTATTATTGATTCTCTTGCTTAGGATATTTCCGGTTTTCCTTCTTTTTTTTAATTATATATTTTTTCAATCAAACAATGTATTGTTAATGAGAAAGAGCTTATCAATATATGCATTTTATAATAGGAAATGATGCAAAAAGATAATTGATAATAGTATTAAGCTAAAAAAAAAGCATGATCATCTGATTAGAAAATATTTTTCTATAATTGTTTAATATTTTAAATTTTAGTTAATTCATATAGATTAGAATGATCGTTTATTTGAATGTTAACCTTATCTTATAGCATGGAGTTTAGAACTCGAATCTTGATTCTATTATTGATTTATTCTTTTGTTTTCTTTTTTCAATTCTTGCCAATTGAATATGGTTCAAAAAGTTAATAAAACTAATTGATATTGTTGTCATTGTTTTTCGTGATCATCAGTTAAGTTTCTATTTAGGTTTATTTCAGAATAAAATTCTTACCTGAAAAAGTAAATCTGGAATTTCTGACAAGATTCATGCTGATTGAATTTTGACTCATGAAGCGAGAATTAATTATTTCTCTAAGAAAGATTTTTGTGTCCTTGAATTGTGGCTTAATCGTTGTGGTTTACATGTAACCTCTGCTATACATCAAGAATACTATTTTTTTTTCGTTTCTGTTGTATTTCTACTTCAAGTTGTTAACAATATATGCAAAAAAAAAAGCCAAAACCTAACTCATGAAAATTCAGATAAAGCATAGAAAGATGAAATGGAGAATATTTTCAATGATAAAAGAAAAAAAAACCTAATGTCATAGTCATGTTGTAAATTTGATGTCTCATCGATTACAAACATAGATTCTACTTATTGTCGAACAGATATTCTCTAACATATGAAAAAATTCTCCAGTAGCTACGGTTTTTGTCGATTTTACGAGCGTATTCAATTAATTGTGGTTCGAAGGATATTTTGAAAATTAATTCGAATAGACATCCGCCATAGCTTTTGTCAAATAAATTCGTACCTGACTGAAAGTTTGATGAGACACATCTAGATTCAGAGCAAATGATACCACTGATTTTCATCAACTGATGATGACATATCTTTGTCGACTGTTACAGCTGATCAACTCAGAATTCGATACACTGAATAATGCATCAACCTAGAGCGACGACTATATTTGTCCTTCAACCCCTTGGATTATTGTTGTATTCTAGCTTGCCAGTCAATCAGTTATTCAAAAACTCAAATGATGTAGTCTACATCGATAGTGAAATATCTGAATTCGATACCGAATCTCAAGCGGAGTGACTATTTGATCGAATTGTTTGAGTATTTAAGCTATTGGATAACAATCAAACTTGACTGAAGACAGGTCATTAGTCGCATCCAAATTAAAATTCTTCAACAAACCGCTATGACCAGCTCGATTAGATTCAAAGAATCAATATCATCCATACTTTGTTGAGTTTTACTCTCGACATTCGTGTTACGTTTTTTTTACGTAGTTTTATGCACTCTATCCTATTTTCAAATTTGCAACAAATGAATTTTAACTATTTTCATTAGAGATCATTAAAAATGAGTTTATTATTATCTTTACTGAAATAGTTTCTTTTTGGCTGTCGCCTATGATGAACTATATTTTGCCTACTGAACAAAATATATTGAGAAACTCATTCAGTCCTTCTAGACGGTTATCTATTGCTTCAGCAATCCTGCTTTGCTTTGAAATGTCTCAAACAATTTATTTCACATGTAGCTGTATTTAGTGATATCTTAAGTAGGCTCTCAAATTGTGATTTATTAGAATCAGTAGTAATTGTTAATAAAGAAGAGATTAGATGATATACTGAACTTTTAGAGATATTCTAGTACTGTCTATTTTTGCGTTTTACTTTGAAGTCATCTTTTCCTCATATATCTTCTATCGTGAATTCTGTGTTCTGTTGCTTTTTACTGTTTTATTTTTTTTATTCTAATAGATACACTGATTCTGAAGTAACTTTGTCTTTAGTATTATTAATATCAGAAGGTTTAATAAATAAATAGATAAATATAAATATGACGTATCCTACCAAGTAACAAGATAATAAAGATAATCTATTTACATTAAAAATACTTAACTTTTTTTTTTATAATTGTATATTCATCATCTAGAAATGATAACATTTCATCTATTGTTGATGTTCTCTGTTTTTGGAAACTTTCTTAAATCAACAACTATTCTATGCACTAATGGAATTACTAATGGACTTTTTAAATAAAATATGTATGCTGACTTGATATTGAAATGAAACTCTTGCATTATATGAATAGGATGCTGTTGTCTATTAAATACAGCAGAATAACTATTAACTATCGTCTTGTGGCAGTTAATAAATAACATGCAGACATTCATTTGTATATATACATATATCTATACATTAACTTATAAATATCATATGACATTTTTCTTGAAGGTCAGACAAGAGTCTTGCATTTGAACAGAAAAAGAATCTTAACTAATCGATTAAAGAAAACAAAAGTCTGGAAAGAATATACCCAAGAACGTGTCTATCAATACTAAGGGCAAAATTAATCATATTTGTCTATGCATTTGACAAGAAAAATATACGCTATCGATTATAAACATAAGCCCACACAGAAACTTTCTATGATAAATATCATCTGCCAAACAGTCATAATCTCATTTTTGATGTAAAAAAAATATTCGTAGAATTACAATTTCTTTACATTTCATAATAAATCTTCTATTGATTAAACTATATAAAGCTGTCATTCTATAAAAATTCAAATATTTTGTTGATCGATTTTATTTTTGCTTACAAACATAGTCAATATTATTATTATTATTATTACTACTACCTTCTTGAAATTGAAGGAAGAAAAAAGAAACGAGAAAGGAAAGAGAGAAAACGCATACATAGACATTTAGCGGTGAACTCAAGCGTCGAGTTCTATCGCATGAAACACATTACCAGTTCCTCATCCGATTGCTTCTTCACTTTCTTAGGCAATCGTCAAAATTATAACGACTACCATTATTATTGATGTTAAATGTGATAAACAACAGATGAGGAAAGAGTAAGTAAATTTTCATATTTCAGCTATTAAAAAACAACGCACGAGTCCTGATGATCTCAACTATTAATTAGTGTTTTTTTTGCAGACCATTAAATGTCATATACTATATAAAGTGTCAACGACTTCTGATTCATTTTTTGTTTTTCTGCACTTGAAAATGACATTCTTGCCAAAAAGGCTGTAGAATGATACATCGATCACAGAGAGTAACAGTTGTCACAGGACGAACTTTAACAATAACAAGTAGTGTAAAAGTTATTAAGGAAAACATAATTTGTTTCAATATGTTTTCCTGTTGTCATTTCATTACACTTGTATCTATACGAAAACAAATTTTTGTTGTTTTTTTATGATTATGAATTTTTTGTGTTAACATAAGAAATTAACTGTGACTTTATTCGGTAGTATAAATTTTAACTCAAGGATTGAATTTTTATATTTCTTTGTTTTTCATTGATTTTGCAATAAATTTTTGTCATTTGTGAATGATAATCAAAATATATATTGTCTTGTAGAAAGAATCAAATAATGTTTAATATAACACACATCTCTTATTATTTTTCTACAATATTTTTTTTATTCAAACATGATATTTATGTTCGATTACAACGTCTTTATTTTCGTATTCAATCAATTTTTATTTCATTCCAAAATATGTCACGTTATCCATGCACATTCAATGATATTCCAACAATATTAATTGAACCATTTATATTACGTGGTTATCGTTCACTTCATCAACCATGGTCTTATTATTGGAAATCATTATTTCATAAACATAATGAAACAATAAATGTTTGGAGTCATTTAATAGGTATATTACATATGGGATATTTATTATATTATTATAATCAACGATTACTATTTTATGAAAATTCTCATTCATGGCCATTTGCTGTATCATTATGTACAGCTATAATTATGTTTATATGTTCAGCATTTGCACATTTATTACATTCAAAATCCGAAACCATTCATAGAACGTGTTTTGCAATTGATTATGTTGGTGTTAGTTTACATGGTTTTGGTTCAGGTTTTCTTCATATTTATTATTCAGCACCACAATGGTATTATGATAAAATTGAATATCAATATGTATTTATGCTTCTTTTACTTAGTATTTTTGCTTGTCTTTTAAATTGTTTTGCTCAATATTATTTTCATCCACCTTATCCACCATTAAAACGTATTTGTCAATTTTTACCATGTGGAATTTTATGGATTTATTCAGTTATTCCATTAATTATTGGTTTACTTTCATGTCAATTTCCATCAGATTTAAATTCAATATGTCATTTAGGACAGGTGATATTATTTCTTATTGGTGCAACACTTTTTGCTTTCGATTTACCGCAACGTTTTTGGCCCGGTGCTTTAGATTTTATTGGTCAAAGTCATCATTTATTTCATTTATGTATTTATTTTGTAACTGTATGTCAAATGCATGGTGTTTATTGGGATTATGAAAAAAATCAAAAAATAATTGATCAAAGAAGTAAACCAGATTTAATATTTTGTGTTGGTTCAATGATTTCTCTTATTTTATTGGATATTATTATTGTTTGGTATTTCCGACGACGTCTCCGTAGGAAACATCACATTCATTAGAAATGAATTTATAATCGATAATAGATGAAGTTTAGAAATAGTTAATTTTGACTCTTTTTTGTTTTAACTTTTAAAGAAAAAGAAAAAGCAAACAGCGATAATAACATGGAAAAAAAATGTCGATACATAAAAAAAATTCTTTACGGTGAACTTTTAATATGAAAAGAGAGAAAAGAAAAAGAATTTAAAACTTCATTATATTATTTTTTTTTCTTTCTTCAATCAAAAATGCTTGCTGTGCACTAAAAAAAAGAAAAGCCATTATTGTTGATAAAAGTAGCAGGCCATATTTTTCATTAAAATACTTTAGAATACTTCAAATATTAAATGCATTTTTATAAAACTATGCAAAATGTAATATATACTAAACGATTAAAAAAATATTACGCAGCATTTTATTTTAAATTTATTCGAGTAATATTTTTCATTAGTCAGTATTAAAACTAAATAACAAAAAGGCATGAAATATATATTCATATTTATTTTTTGAACACAATCTATATTCTTAAGGTTTAACAATCCGTTAAGAAATAACAAATGAAGTAAAATATATAAATTATTGTTTATTTACATTTGATTTTTTTGCATGAAAAGATTTATAACAATATCTATTAGAATATTAATTATTAAAGAAATAAAAATTATAATTCTATCAAATTTAGTGATATGATCAAAAAATATTAGTTCTTCGAAGAAAAACCTCTCTCGAGAATCGATCCAGAGGCGGCGCGAAGAGGTCGGAGCAGGAAGATCAGTTCTAAAATTGGAGAAAGTCAAACATTGTTCTTCAAACTGAAGTTTTCTCTAAATGAGAGAAAATTGTATAATATATTTCTCCAAAATCGAATAAAATCGCTCTAAACTGGTCGCGAAACTTGAATTTTCTTTTAATTTAGAAAAACTTTCTAACGAATTTCTCCAAAATGGAAGAAAATTGCCTAATAGTTTTCTCCGGAATTGGATTTTTCTGCTTTCAGAGAAATACATTAAACAATTTTCTATAAATTCAGACAAAATTCAAGTTTGGAGAACGTTTTTAGGCAATTTTCTCCCCCATTGTAGAAGTGCATTTAACAATTTTCTCCGATTTTGGATAAAGTTTTTTTTATATATGCCTTTATAATCGAAGAAAATTCAAGTTTGGAGAATGCTTTTAGGCAATTTTCTCTGATTTCCGAGAAATGTTTTGATTAACTTTCTCCAAAATCGGAGAAAGTTACTTAGTGTAAATTTCTCAAATTCAGAGAAAGCCCCAACCAAAATTTTCTGGAGCAGAGGGGGTATTCTCCCTCCCTCCCCCTCCCATTCCCTGGTCGTACTGCTCCTGAATCGGTCTGTTTAATCTTGTTTTTGTTATGTTCTATTCATATTTTCAAAAAAAGATAATTCTATTGAATTTTATCGAGTAATTTGTTAGTAATTACGTTGTTGTTACTTCAAAAAGTATGATCAAAAGACATAACATTATACAAAAAAACATATTTCTTTGATGCACTATTTATCGAAATCTAACAGCAGGGTGTATGAATAACATGATTCATATTAGATGATAGCAATTTAATGCGTGCATATATATTATAAAGTTGTATGATTCTATTCAAAGAAATGGAAGTATGTATTCGATGTTGATTATACCTAATGTGTTTTCTATTCTTTTTTTGATAACTTTTTTTTCATCTATTAATGCAGTCATCTATTCGGACAGACATGATTATGATGCATATGGAATACGTATAGCTAGTACAGATTATTTTGTTGTACTTGCTCAAAATGATGGTCTTCGTTATGTTGTTTCAATGGCTCCTTTTGGAATGGAATATGTATGCGGTTATAATTATAATTCATCAAATGATTTTGTTATTAGTATAGCTGTCGGTCGACGGCAAAATTTTTCACAATTATCATTTGTTTATTTACGAACCAATTCCACAAATGGTCAATATCAAAAATTAGGTTTATTTACATTTTCACGTAGAAATAGAACTACTAGTTCATCAAATTACTCGTGTAATCAAAGATTAAGTAGAAATGAAGGAGAACATGATGTGAAAATATGGAAACGTGAACCATCTGAATTGTCAACATTACAAGTCGATCTTTATGGAAAATATGCATATGGTTTTCTTTCACAAGATATTTTTATTTATGATATTGAAAATAACTATGTCAAAAGTCTTCTATGGAATGATATATTTCCATCGATCAATATTAAACCTCATGCATTAGATATAAGTGAGACAAATGATGAATTTTCAATAGCAATTATTGCTGGCTATTATGAAATTGATATTGAAAAAAATTTACCATCTGTTTATCTTGTTCGTTTAAATCCTCCTTATAATATGACTCTTGTTGATAATTATACTTTATTTTCTGATAATCAAAAATTTGTTCGTGGACGTTATGTTTTTACTTATGAATTTGATTATGTTATGTCTGTTTCAATTCATGATGCAACTCAACAAGTTCTTATTGGTGTACCACAATTACGTAAAACATATCTTTTTTCATTTAATAGTACAAATTTAACATTAATTAATACATTTAATCATTCAGCACGTTCAACAAGTTGGCTTGATGATGATGGTATACAAGCAGGTTTACTTCTTAGTGATCAAGCTACACTTCCTTGGGCAAAATCTCGAATACATGTAGTAAATACAACATCTGAAGATATATTATATTGTTATCCTAATAATCAACAAACATTAGAACAATGGTCAAATACACCTCCAACATTTATTCGATTAACAAAAACATATGATCATCAATTAGTTATACTTACTGGAGATGGAACTTTAGTACTAATTCCTTCAGTTGATGCAGGTTACTATATGAAAACAGATGATATTAATAGTGTATTACAGCATCCATTAGCATGTCCACGTGGAACTTATAAAAGTATGCGAGGTCCAACACCATGTACAATATGTCCAACAATGACTAAGAGTTCTCCTATTAGTAAGAAATGTTGTGTTCTTTTTTAAATATTAACACTTCATTTGATATTTTAAAGGTGTATCATTTAATTCATCACATGGAATGTATGTAGGATATCCAACTATAGAATGTATTAATTGTTCGTCAAATTCTTTCTGTCCTCTCGCTTCGGTCAATGATGTAAATCAATCAATTTTTCAATCGAAAAGTCAAGCTTATGCTTATCCTACATCATCTTCAATGGCATCATTCGATGATATTCTCATGGAAAATACATTTAGTCTAGAAATAAGATCTATTCGATGTCTTCTCATTTCACCATTTTTTTGGTCTCTAATTACATTATTTCTTGCTTTTATTATTCTACTTATTATGGGAATCTTATACCATTCTCCAACAGGAAAGAAGCATTTTGAACGTCTTGAATGGCTTTTGCGTCATTCTGATCTTATTGGTAATGGAGAATTATGGTTTGGTGGACTTATTTCATTTGCTATCATTATTCTTATCATCTATAGTTTTTGGTTTGGTACCGTTTTTGTTGTCAAATATCCATTAGAAACATCAAATGATTCTTATTTTGTATGTGATACATCATTAAAAAATACTCAATTTAGTTCAGCTCTACAATTATTAGCTATTATTAAATCTAAGGAAGAAACACCTATATTTGATATGCTTGATATGCAAGAATTTACTATAACTGTCAATTTTGTACAAACAGGTTATACTTGTAATGATGTTACTGCACAAGTAAATAAATGAGAAATTCTTAACTATCATTAATATAAGAATAATTACTAAAAGTTTAGTATGAAATTTTTTTCTTTCATCAGTCATATTAAAAAAAATAGGAATTTCTAAGATTAGATCCAAATAAAATTTTCCCATCACATACTGACTATTATCAAACTGAAACAGGAATATATTTTTGAAAAGAATTTTCTTTTCTTTTTTTTTAAGAAAAATATTGGCACTTATTCAGTAGCATTACCACCTACTAATTGTACTGTGCAATCAGATAATACTACGCTTACTGTCGTATACCGTGTGCCTTATCATAAAATGACTATACAAATAAATTTAACAGGTAAATCATATCTCAAATAAAACAAATATCATTTCTTATACATAGGATCATATTATATTGGTGGTATTTTTATATGTCTTACGGGTCCTCGTATTACAACGAATGATTCATCATATATCGTTCAAAATTTAGACTATTGTCAATTGTTTAATACATCCGATCAAACTCTTGGTCACACAACAGAAATCAATTTTGCTCTTACAAAAGTGATTAATCGAACAGAATCATTAGATTATAGTGGTTCAACTAATTATAGTGGTATATGGATTCCGACATCAACTCATGGATCATTGAATGATCGTCTTGTTTATTTACAACAAGGTGCTTTTCTTCGTTATTTATCTACACAACATACATTGATCATCAGTTTTAGTGAAACAGAATTTTATGTTATTAATAAACAAGAACCAATTGCACGAATGGGTGAAGTTCTTTTTCATGATATACTTTTTGTAACGACTATTATTGGTATCTTTGCATTAGCTTTTCTTATTTTTAAATTAATGTTTATGCCAATACTGAAATGGATTATTAATCACAAAAAGTTATTATTACGATTTTGTAAATTACGAAAGAAAAAATCGAAAGAAAATGGCCATACATTTTAAGATATATTTGTAAAATATATCTCGATTATATATTTAAAAAAAACAAGAATTTTTTTTAAATTGCTTTCTTTTTTACTAGAAAATAATAAAAGATAATGTAATTTTGCTCATATGTAATCTTTTAACAGAGAAATTTAATGATTTATCACCCATAGATATTATAATCAAACTGTATCAATATTCATACTGATAGATAATATTAGAATAAATTATTATACATTAACCAACTGTCTTATGTTTTCATACTCTCCATAATTTAAATATATTAACAAATCAAATAAAAATTAATTAATACATGACTCATATAATTCATATCATTCAACCATTTCAAACTCAATTGAATTCTCATATCAACTGTGATATATATAAATATTTCTTTTTTTTTTCCTGGTAAAATTTCTTTGTTGATCTTTTATTGTCAATTGCAATATTTGTAATCCTTACCGTTTTTTTCAAATTGTTAGTTATACTTAATTATTCTCTTTTTAAGATATACAAGGATACTCTCATGAATTTTGATATTCATAAACAATCACTGAAAGACATCTGTAGACAAATATATCAAACTATCGTCATGATACTTGTCGATCATTATTATGAATGCAAGTTTTGATAAATTTCTTTTTATTTCTTACTCATTCTATTATTATTTTCAAACTTTAAGACAATTTTTTAATTCACTTCCATGGAACCATATAAAACTTCTTGGGACTGATTCGTTTTTATTCGATTTATAATTTTGAAATGAAATTTTAGGTACGTTTGTTTATGTTGATCATGTTCGTCATCCAATTGAACATAATTGAGAATTTGCTCGTAAAGTAATGAAAAAACAATCTACTATCATTTAACAATATTCTTTAAACTCATTCATATTGAACATAATTTGGATAAAAAAGATTTTCTTTCATTTTTACTTGAAATATTTCCTATAGATCTTAAACGATATATGGATGCATGTTTATGTACAGAACGATTATTTGATAAACTCATAGAAGTAAACAATAAATAAAATATTATTTAAAAAACTATATTTAATTTTTATTTTTAAAAGTTATACATATCAAATATTATATGCTATTCATCATCTTCATCGACCATTGTTTCGTGATGAATGTGGAATAGAACAATTCTTACTTATTTTTCGGTAAGTTAATTTATGTTGATTTTTGACTTTGCATTAGTAGATTGCTTAGTGCACCGTCGGTAGTTGAATGGTCTAATACTGCCAATTGTCTTTATTATCAAATAAGTTTTCCAAATTTTCCATTCAATAGTATTGAATTGTCTCAATTACCTATGTCAAGTACTTATCGACAATTCCTAATGCTATGAATTCATTGTTGTATATAGATTTTTTTTAAATTTTTAATGTCAATATCAAATATCTTTTCAGGATATTCTTATTTACAATTCACAAATTCGTCCAACAGCTGAACAATTACTTAAACATTATCTATATTTTACTTGTCAACCTATTATTAACTCACAAAAAAACCTATAAAAACTAACATTGATAGAGCTATTCATTTACAAACTGAAAATATGAAACATATTGAAAATAAAAATAGATTTTATATCTTTGTTATTATTTTTCTTTTGTCTAGTCATGTCTGTTATTATTGTTTTGTTTTTTTTTGTTTGAATAAAATATCAAGAAAATGAGATAAAATGAATAATGATTAAAAAGAAACAAATGATGAATAATAGTTGGGAGTGTCCATATAAAGCAAAGATCATTAGTATTGTTCTTCCCGCCGATAAATATATAGTGTCTATTGATCGAATGCGTGATGACACATTTCCTATATGAACGTATATGTATGTTTACAATCGGCTCACCTGCATACCTATATCTTATACAAATATATACATGTTCATTCAATCAATTCTTTTCTTTATTCTATATCACTACAAGGTGAATGTCGCATATAAAATGATGCAATGTTCGTTATAGTGACGATATTTTCATTGATTATTTTCCATTTTATTCATGTAACAACATTATCATCAGAATGTGAATCGACTACAACAATATGGACATATTATCCTTGTTCATTTATTATTTCATCATCATCATCATCATTCTATTGTCAACAAGCATCAATTAGTTTATCAATTGATCAATATATAGACAGAGAAATAACGTTTTTCTGGCATTTTCCATATGGTAATATGACAATAACATTGAAATCAGATAAAAATCAATCATTTCTATTACATTTATTTAAAATGTCATCATTGAAGAAAAAATTAATTAAAAATATTTATCATCTAGTAAATAATAAAACTATAAACGAACAAAAACTTAATATTGATGAACATGAAGTTATTATAATACCTTCGAATGAATATAATCATTGTTCAATTAAATTTGAAACATCAAATCGAATTATTTTTGATTATGGAATATTAATACGAATGTCGATTCGGACTAATGACAATAATATTCATTAGAATTTTATTTAAAAAAAAAATGTTTCCTTCTTTTTGTTATTAAGAACAGTATGAAAATAAAGTTCTTCAATTAAAATTTTTCTTTTAGCATCTGAAAATTTATTAAAAATTTGTATGAATTTAATGTATAAGTTCATATTGTAATAGGATTAAGCAATGACATTGATTTGGTAGACAGAAAAAATGTTGAAAATATTTCAAATTGACCTCAAGACACCATTGTTGATCTTTCTCTAATCTTTTAATTCATGGTGACTGATTGACAATATTCTTCACTAGAGTATCGTGTACGTGAAAGTAATGAAAAGTTATGTTAAGAAAACAGAAATCAATGAGTTTATGTCGTTGTTTTTTCTTCGAAATATTTTATTCATTATAATATTCCAACAAAATATATTTAATAACTAAAATGATAATAATTCTTATGTGTTCTTCGAAGAAGGCATTTTAGAAAACTAGAAGAAATCATACCACTAGATGCATGGGAGAATTCTGCTATAATAGTGTAAAATTGAAATTTCACATTATCTGACTTTAATTTTGTGAAATCGATGTTTTTATTGCATAATACTTAGTGTTTAATATAATATTAAAAAAAACCACTGGTTTCGAAAAGAACATATCAATAAAACTTATACGAAACTTTCAATTTCTTAATATCAGAATGCAATATTTTAATAGAATCTAATTAGAAAAAGGAGCTATTGAATCTGCCACACTTATCATCGCATATTATATTGAATAAAAGAGAGTTTGTATTAGTTTATTCATTATTTGTTATAATATAACGAATATTGATTTTTCAAAATATAAAAAAGCAAACTGAAAAGTTCTTATTTATAAAAACACTCTATTACCAACATAAAGAGTTCACCAAAATCAACGAATGATACGTAATAGTGATAAGTAATCATAGAATGAAATATCAAAGAATTATATCAGACTGATTAGTTCTATATAAATACAAAGGATTATGGCTATTTGTCGTAAACAATTTCGATGACACTTCTAATAATCACTGATCAGAGGAAAACGGTCGAAAGAAAATAAAATAAAAATTGTTCATACATTAACCTATAAAGTTAACAAATAAAATCAACAACACAGTCCGATCATGTTCGTCAACAGAAAGCAAAACAATTAAATATATGTAATCGTCGTAATTCGTGATGTGTCTCATGAAGAAAGTCCTCCAAGTAATCAATCACTTTTCCGTGGAAACATACATGACTGAGTGCAGTTTACTGCGCTGATTCAGAATATGAGAGTCTTAGCGGCTCTTAGGTATGACTAGTTTATACAACATATAGTTTTGTTTGTATTAGCTCATTTTGGTTTTTTCTTATTATTTCATTTTCTGTACTTATAATAAACATTCTAACATTGGCATTGAAGAATAGGAACGTGCTGAATTTCAAAATTTTGAACTTAACTTTTTGAAGATTCATTCAAAAAGTAAAAAATTGTAGAAACAAAGCAAAAGAATTATTACTACTCATCGTTGAAATCGTTAATGACAATGTATGTTTGTTTCTTTTCTAACGCATAGATATACGAATGGAAATAAATCACATAAAACGAAGAAGCTATTGTGTTAGAAGTGTTGCCAATCATGATAAACTAATATAAGTAATCAGCTTTCACGTAATGAAGTCTTGTTTGAACAAATGCGTCTGTTATATGAGACAAAGGAAACAAGGCATTATCATCTATCAAAAGGGATGAGACCACCATGACTGAGTGACTTCTTAGTTTAATACGTATCCACAAGGTACTATGTTCAAACCTTGATATTATCAGCCATGAAATGATCCTGCGTAAGTCACTAACGGCTGTTTATCTTGAATCACCCGTCCAATAGTATACTGATCACGTTATGACATACACCTGCTCTTGTGGTTAGTTAGTGTGTATGGAGAGCTCAAACAATTGAACACAAAAACTTTGCGCGAGGAGAGGGGGAGGCTTCTGTCCAAAGCTATAGCTAGTCATAGTTGCAGGAAAGATACCGAACTATTAAATTTACTGCTAGGCAACATCCCATACAGCAAGGTAATCGAATGGCAGAGTTATTCTCACTTCCTTCCAAGTGGAATAATATACATATATATTTATATAAATTTAATAAGACATTGGAACATAACAATGAACGACAGCACAAGAACTAGTGCATATGGAAACCTCAACACAACAAAAAATTTCAACATAGAACAATAAAAAACAATCAGAATAAATTGTTACTATATCATACAGTTGAGTCCTTCACGAGTTATAATAATCATGAGTTAGTCTGAAATCTTTGTCTTTCAGTACAAATTTTGGTTCCTCATGAATATTGTTTCCTAACCATATAGATAGAAAACAATTATCTAGCAAAAATGTAAAATCTGTTCGTTGCGAGAGCCATTTGATGATTTCATTAGGACTAAACGGCATATCAAACAAGAACACAAATGTAATACTTGATAAGTATTTCAACTGTTGCAAAAGTATTTTTATATCGTCCAAATCCATGTCATATATTTCAAGGTGTTTCACATGATGAGGAATAATAGAACAAAAACTTTCAACAATTCCATTTAAATTACTACGATAATGTGAATTAGATAATGTAAGTGAACGAACATTGTATGTTTGTTTAAGTAAGTAGCCTATATTGTTTATTGTATTTGATACTGAACAATGATCAAAATCAACGTACAATCCCAATGTAATCAGATTTGTTAAATCAATAAGATTCGAAAGAAATTCCATTGAATCAGCAGGCCATTCTCCATTGATCGTAAGTGTTAAATCGGTTAGTTTTAGAAATAAATGATGACTTCGTAATGTAATCTATATGCACAAAAAAAAATTTAATGATTTAGAAATATCAATTATTCGAATAATTCATTACAAGAAATCCAGAAATAAATTTAAGCTAAAGAAATTTTTTAGGTTTTGTTTTCTCATAACATACCTTTTGTGCTGTTATACTTGCCATCATTAATGTTAAATCTAAATGAACTTCACGTACATTATTCATTATTAATGCATCATTTTCAATGGCTGTGCAAGTGGTGCATACGATTTTATCGAAGTCAGATTCGTATGTAATACAAGGATCACATATTGGTACTGAATAGAGTCTAAGTGTTGCCGTTTTAATGATAAAATTACAAGTTACAAACCAAGATTTATGTTTAAGCCAAAACATTGTTCGAAATGGACTAACCCATGATTCAATATCAATAGGATTATGGTTAATATCAGTCTTAGTACGAAAGAAAAATTCAAATTTCTTCAATGAAGATAATTTTATTTGAATAAACTCTTCCCATCGCGCGCCATCAAGTATAGCATCCAATAAATTAACACTACCTGTTAGTTGAAGGTGAACAAGAGAAGGTGTTAGTGAAAGTAACAATTCTAACTCATTCATTTGTAAACGACTATTCTTCAATGTCAGTGAAGTTAAATGTGTATTTGTTTGAATATCAGAAAATGATGTCATAGTTCCATCAGTATCATTCACAATACAATTTCTTAGTACTAATGTTCGTAAATGGGATAAGTGACGAAGAATTTCACAAACTTGTTTGAGTGTTACGTAATGACCAAGAGTAAGATATTGTAAAGTACATTGCTTAGGCCATACTATATTATTTATTTCCTGACTCCACATACTTAGATCAAATTTATGAAGATTAGCCATGACAATATTAGATAAAAGAGAAATCATTGATTTATCATTAGATTTAGAATTGTTTTTTCGTATTTTGATTGATAATGCATTTAGAGAATTTATATTAATATGTTCTATGAGTAGATTTAATTCAAACTTTTCAATTTCAATTAAAGTTAATGCACGAAGATGAACGAATTGTTTAATATTGAAAAGAGATATAAATAAACAAATTTGACCTGGTGTCATATCATTATTGGAAAGAATAAGTGAAATTACATTTTCCGGACGAATAATACGACAAATACGATGAAATTCACTCTTCGAAACTGAGCTTAAATCAAGTTCATATCGATTATAAATGTCGACAATGGTATAAAATCGTTTACATACATTTCGAAATGAAAAAAATATTGTTTGTACGTCAAGATTGTCAAAAATATGATACACAAGTTCGATAGGTAAAGTATAAAGCGACGCAGACGACATTACTATGTGTTTTGTCTAAATATAGTCTATCTATTGCACCAAACAGCAATGTAATGGTGCAACATTACGACATTATAACAGAAAATGATTTTTCTTTTACGTAAGAGACAGAATGATGAAATATCAGAAATGATAAAAAAAACCAATCATGGCATATGATAAGTGCAATAGACTCTCTTGTTGTATACTCAAAAAGTGAGTACACTCTAGAATCGGTCAGTGTGTCCGGCCGGCCGTCCGTTTACACGATAACTTTTGAAAGGAGAGTCCGATCACAATGAAATTTTCTACACAGCTTAGTCTCAACAATATCTCGGTCGAGTTCGAAGATGAGAATGATTGGCCGAGCCATTGCTGAGTTATTGCAAAAATAGTCATTTTTCCCTATGCTTCCCTATGCGAAGATCGACTTGTCTCCGCTTTCGTAAGAAACTTTTCCTATCATAGTCAAATAAAACCCCAACTATTATATACCATTCGGTAGAGAATTTTACGAGCTACAAAATGGTATATAAAACAAGGAAACAAGAAAGCTAACACACCTATTGCACAGATAATTAAACGGTAATCGGTTCTGTTTTTGTCCACGCTCTAATTGATCCACAAATCGAGCTCTATCTTCCAATCACAGAGATGATACTTCGAGGTTTTCTGGGGTGGAGAACTCGAATCTATGCTCCATTCGCCTCGAAATCTCATTGGTTGAGCAGTAACTAATAGAAATCAAGTTATAGGAAAAACGAGTTTCTTAGGGTAAATCAAGGTGAAGAGTTCAAATCTGAGTTGTATTCACCCCCAAATCCTATTGGTTGAGCAGTAGCCAATAGAAATCAAGTGTTTGTAGAAAAGGTTTGCCAGGATAATTTTTATGTCCCCACATTCTAGGATAACTCATCTGCCTCATTCACTTTTTGAAGTACATATAACTCTTGGATTTAAATCCGAGGTTTCCACATTTATTTATTAGAAATCTCACTTATCTTCTGTAGCGGCGTAACCAGGATTTTGATGATGATGGGGCTCTGATGGGGCTCAATTACTCAAATTCTGCCCAGTAGTGGGGCTCATAATAGAACTTAGCTGAAGCAGCTATGTCAGGTGACGAGGCTGAGCCCCAGCTGGCAGCAGCTTGGTTACGCCACTACTCTT